CAGAGTTTTGTAGTTTTCCTCATATAGACCTTGTATGCATTTTTTTAGATTTATGCCTAAGTATTTCTTTTTTTTATACTAATGTCAATTGCATTTTTTTAATTTCCAATTTTATTTGTTCATTGTTAGTATACTGGAGCTGATTTTATTTTGATAGGATGATAAGATGGCTTTACTGAATATGGTGAGTACAGAAGAATAAATAACAGAATTTAGAAAATAAGGGAATTTATAGAGTGATGTGCCTACAGAAGTAGGTAGAAGGAACTACATGCAGGTCCTTAAGAAGTTTTGTTTTATATTATATGATTATATTATATGATCATATTTCTATTGAAAAGGTCGGGATGGCTCTTGAATGGAGAATGTACTACAAGAGAACCAAAGAAGGGCTAAATGCCCTAGAATAGATCAGAGAGCTATTAAGAGGTAAATTCACAGGTCTTGGTAATGGACTGCATATGGCAAAATGCAACTTGAAATAGGAATTGAGTGAAGTTCCATTGCTTAGGCAACTAACTCTACAAATTGTCTTATCATTTAATAAGATACAAAACATTAGAGCGAGAATAGGGAACCTTTTTTCTGCCCAGGGCCATTTGGGTATTTATAACATCATTCTTAGGCCATACAAAATTATCAATTTAAAAATTACCCTAATATATTTGGTCAAACATTTAATTAACTACCCCTAATGCCTTGGCAGAGCCAGACCAAATGATTTTGCAGGCCTTATACAGCTCTTGGGCCCAACATTCCCCACCCCTGCACTAGAGGAAGTTCAGTCTGGGGTATTGTGAGGTTAAGGTTCCATTAAGACTTTTAAAAAATAGGTAAATATATGAATTTATGATTCTGGAGGTCAGAGAAGCAATCTGTACTATAAATGTTAGACATTGGTATATAAATTGTAACTGAGGTCCTGGGAGTGGATGAAGGTAATAAAGAACATGGTAAAAAGATAAAATGGTCCTAAGGACTTCAAGATTTAATGGCAGAAAGCAAGAGCCTTACTTTTTTAATACCCTCTAGCCATTGAATTGTCCCTTCTTTCAAACACTAATCCCTCTCCTGTGCTCCAATTCCATTCCTTCTACCTCATTCAAGTCCTTTTATCAATTGTCTAAAGTTGTTTTACAGTGCCTCTTAAACAACAAAACTCCTCCCTTGATTTTTTTGTCATCTCTTTCTATCCCCTCCCACCACTCCAGAACAAATTTTTCTAAAATGTAAAGTGGTCTATTTTTATGGAATATTCAACTTCACTTGCCATTTAATTCTAAATACAATTATTTGACTTTTCAGTTTAACAAAATAAACCATTATTACTAAATCAAATAATCACTTTCCAATTCTTATTTTGTTTTCTGTTCCTCTGCCCAGCTTGTAAATACTTATGTTCCCCAAAGTTTATTCTTAGTTCTTTTTTCTTCTGATTCTAAAATTACATTTCCTGGGGTAAACTTCCATCATATGCTAATTAACTTCAAATCTATGTTTCATCTAGAGTTCCCTCTTTCACATAATCCACTGTGCATTGGATATTTCCACTTGAATACTCCATAGGTTCCTCCAATTATATACATTTTTTAAAAATACTCATTTTATGATCTCCCATTCCCTAAAATAACCAACATAACTACAAAATTCTGCTGTCTCTCCTTTATCCTTTATCCTCTACTAGAGGCCCGGTGCACAAAATTCGATCCCTATGGGATCAGGGCCTAAACCAGCAGTTGGACATTCCTCTCACCATCCGGGACTGCTGGCTCCCCAACTGCTCGCCTGCCTGCCTATCTGATTGCCCCTAACTGCTTCTGCCTGCCAACCTGATCACCCCCTACCACTCCCCTGCCAGCCTGATGGACGCCTAATTGCTCCCCTGCCAGCCCAATTGCCCCCAACTGCCCTCCCCTGCCGGCCCATTCCCTAACTGCCGTCCCCTACAGGCCTGGTCGCCCCCAACTGCCCTCCCCTGCTGGCCTGGTCACCCCCAACTGCCCTCCCCCTGCCAGCCCGGTCACCCCCAACTGCCCTCCCCTGCTGGCCCAGTCCCCTAACTGCCCTCCCCTACAGGTGTGGTCATCCCCCAACTGCTCTCCCCTGCAGGCCTGGTCACTCCTAACTGCCCTCCCCTGCCAGCCATCTTGTGGCTGTGTGAACAGCCATCTTGAGGGTGTGGCAGTCAATTAGCATATTCCCTCCTTATTGGCTGTGGGTGCTGCCATCTTTGTGATGGTGTGAGGGTCAATTAACATATTCCCTCTTTATTAGATAGGATCACCCACAAAGCTGTTCAAGGCAGAAACCTGTTAATCATCTTTGGTTCCTCCTGTCAACAACCTTCCTTGATCATATCAATTCTACCCCTTATAGTAATATCTTAATTCACTCCATTCTCTTTATTCCAGTCACACTTTTAGACAATCCATTTTCTTCTAGCATGTTTAGCCGAAACATAATGATCAAATATAATCACTGTCATCCTTTCCTTAAAAGTTTTCAATGATTTCCCATTTCCTATTATCCCTAAAGGAAAAAAATCTACTACCTTAAGAAAACCAATTAGACCTTCTCCAATCTCCCCTTCTATTCATACTATGCATAAACCATGAGAACTACTTACACAGAAGCAATGAGAACAGATTTACTGAAGGAGCCGTCTTACTATTCTCTGCAATGGCTTCCATTCTCTATAATGATTATATCACCTACACATTCTTTAAAACTCAGGTTAAGCTTTCTCATCAGGGGAAACTTTCCAAGGCCCTTCTCAGTACAAGTTAGGTATCATACATTTGTCCTCCAATAGAAATTATATAGCATACTTTAGTATTCTATTTATCCACCTATGTCCCTCAACTGTGCACTCAAGGAAGGCAGAGACTAAGTATTCTTTTTCCTGTAACCTGTGTACTTAGCTCATTACCTGGAAATTAATTAATTAATTATTATTCATCATTAACAGCACACCTAAACATATACCTTTTTATCTCTTCGCTTCTAAAAATACACTGTATTTAATCCAATGCCTTATATTCAACTCTATATACTGGTAAATTCAAATATCTGTGATTATTTGCTTTGAGAGCGAAAGTTTTGTCTTTGTAAAAAAAATCAAGACAAATTAAATTATCCTCTGATAATTTTATACTATTCCAAAGATACAGCCTAACTTTAGAAATTCCTTGGGTGCATATGTCATGTTTCCCAAATTATAAAAGTTGAAAACAATTCTTCAGTTCTAGTAATAAGGCAAATAAAGCATCACATCATCATCCTTAGAAAACCAAAGGGTAAACAGAGTAGGAGACAAGGGAATAGGAAAAATAAAATGTAAAAAATCAGTATTTAAGAGCAACAAAAATATCCAAGATGTTTCTATTTGATATTAAAATGCTTTGACACTTTTTGTTTTGCTCTTCTTAGTAGTTACTACAGGACAAAATTTGTACATATTGCTCAATGTATTCAAGTGCTGTTCTGTTTTCTAATGTTAATCTTTTCTCCCCTCACATAAGAACATTTTTATTTCTGTAGGCCTAAAAATGACAAGATTAGGTCTAAGCAAAGAGTAAGCACTTAACAGCTATTTACTGAATGATTTAGATATATACTGGCAAAAGATCCAAAATAAAAACATCTAAACCTCATCAAACTTTCCAGATGATATCGTTGAATGGCAACATGAGTTTGTTTTTTTCCTGAACATTTTTCTTAAAAAAAAAAAAAAAATCCAGAAAATGAAAGACCTCCCCAAATGAAAAACTCCAGTCACTACTTAGCAAACTAATTTTGATGTATCAAACAGAACCTGCCAAAGAGTTTTAACGGGTCATTGAGATTTAAAACAATTCAATGGCAAGAACTGCCATGAGGTTTGGTTGTATTTTAAAAGTAGCATACATCACTGTCAAAACCAGTCATAACTTTGTAGTACAGGCATGATTTGGGAGTCTTTTTATAGTTTAAACTTGTCAATCATGAATGCTTTTAAAAATCACTTACCCACCACACACACACACACACACACACACGCTCAGTTTTAAGAAAAATTTTAAATCGAAAGACACAGCTCTAAATTACATTTTCCCCCTGCACATAAAATTCCTATTCTAATAAGAAAAGAAAGCTCTCATTTCAAAGTTCACAAATCACTAGGAAAATAAAGTACATACACATTTCATTCTTACCAGTTTTTTTTTTTGGAAGAATACCTCAAGTAGTTTGTTATTTGAAGGTGCCTTAACAGCAAACGACAATTAAATGTGTGAACAAGGTTGTCAGAGTAACACTTGTCATTCACACCACTTATGGAAAGGGACTTTCAGAAGCATTAATTAAAATTAACGAAAGCTTGTCACGGGGACGTGCCAGAGAAGTACATTTTGTCATTTGCTCTTAGAATCAGAGGGAAACCAAAGCGGCTCCAAGCTCAAGAGTTTTCACTCTAAGGTCTAAACCCAACCCACCTGCCACTGACAAACTGAGCTCAGATGCTCAGCAAGCAACTCATTAAGGTGAGTTCCGATTCCTTCAGTATAACACAACCATTTAAAAAAAATTAGTGACTTCAGGTGAAGACGATGAATTTTCAATCAGATATCAGAAGAGAAAGGGGCGGGGAAATGTATCTTTCCTCTTCACAGACAAGCCTAGGTGAAAAGTCCTACTGGCAGTTGCTTGATATTTCGCTCCACCGATCGCTTCTGTAATTAAACGTGCATGAAGACACTCAAAACGAGAGCAAAGTTGTATATTACCCACCTCTTGCCCCAAAGAACCCCGGAAGGCTCTCACCCAGGGCTCAGGGGGGCCTTTCTCACCTGGGTCCCGCACAAGTCCGCCGTCCTCACGCAGAGAGCACTTTTCAGCAAGACGCCTTGCTATTGGTTGACTTAAGACGGAACTCTCAGTTCTATTGGCTACGAGAGCCGTAAGGGGGCGGGAGTTGGGGGCTGGCGCTGACAGGCCGGCTACGGGAGTTCCCAGAGTTCCTATTGGGTCTACGCGGGAAGCGCCAAGATGGCGGCAGAGGGAACCAGCGGCCCCGGCGCCTGGAGTCCTGGGTCTGTGGCGGCGGCAGCCAGCAAACACAACGTCACCAGTTTCCAGAGAAGGGGTCCGAGAGCCAGCGGCACCGAGAGCGGCGGCTGTCGACTGGTGTCCATCGCAGGCACACGGCCGTCGGTGCGGAACGGACAGCTGCTGGTATCAACCGGGCTCCCAGCCCTGGACCAGCTCTTAGGTCGGTTCAGAACGGAGATCTAGGCTCGACAGAGGGAAAGCAAGGGAGGGGACTTGCTGGGGGAGCTCGCCTGACCCCACGTGTCTGTGTGGCCCCCCCGCCTTCGGACGTGGAGAGATGGCCTGGTCTGAGAGAGTGGAGGGAGGAGGGGTTGCATGGAGACTTGGAAATGCTGTTAACCAGACCGGTGCTGGTGCTCCCACTGTCACTCGGTTCCTGCCCAGCAGCCTTTTTCTAGTTTGCGACCGGATCCCTTCGTGCTGTTACCTCGGTCAAGGGGAGTTACGTTTGGAGACGGTGCGGCCGTCCTCTCTAGAACCCCCTCCAGGTCTCTGCCACCCCCAGGTAGTTCGTGGTTTGGATTAACCTGCAAAAGTTGGTATCACTGTGAGAGATGGGCTTCATTGGAAGATATTGGGGGAAAAAAAGAAAAAGTAACTTCCTGTCTTCCACCGCCAGGCTGCTCATCTCCGGTTCTGAATCTTTAAACAAACCACGTTGGCTTGAAAAGAATGGATTAAAGGTTTATGTAGATCCCAAGTAGTTACACGCGTATCTGCTGCGTTAAATACACTTATGTTTCTGTTCGATTTTTTTCTCTATTAACTCATTTTAACGAGTGAAAGAAGGGCAGTTCCTAGGCGTCCCTGTATAATCTCTGGAGCCTTTCTTTCATGACAAGCCTGCTATGAATATGCTTGTTTTGTAACTGTTACACTGAAAGGATTGACCAGATTAGGTTGGTAGGACAGAACTCCTATGTTAATAAAGGTTGTGAATTAGTTAATTCCTATCTGAATGCTGCTTCATTCAAAAAGATGTATGTTTGTATCTCATGACTTCTTAATAGTGTGTGATATGTGCCAGTTAAATCTTGTACACTTTCATAAAATTCTAGAAATGCCATTGCTTGTTCTTGTACTTCACTCGACATTTTTCCCTCTGTAATCCCTCCACCCCTAGCCCCCAGCCCCACCCTGCAAAGTTTAATGCAAAGGAAAGTGACAAGGCAAGCAACCAGTGAGAAAGAATATGGTTGGGTTTTTTTTTGCCTCTGTTATTTCATGTCCTTAACTGGATCTTGGTTATTTCTACATAAGTCTAAGTATTTTTCACTTAATTCTTTCAAGTCTATTGCCTTCCTAAATTGCATGGTACTACAAACAAAAATTATTCAGAATATCTCGTTGGCAAGTATTTATCTCACTTTTTTTTTTTAACCCTTGCAACCTTACTTGGGTGTGATCCTATATTTGAACTTAAAACTTGGAAGCTGTTTTCAAATTGAAGTTCAAATATAGGATTACACCAAGTGTTTAAATATATGTAATATGTATTATACGTGATTATATATTCAATTGAGATAAGTAATTTTACTCACTGGATCCTGAAACTCTCCAAACAAAAAGGTCACATTTCTGACGTTATATTCTTCAGTTCCTAATTAGAGTAACAAAATGTGCCTAGCACAGTTCCTGTCACTTAGTAGATTCTCAATAAGTTCTTGATTGAAAAATAAAATAATGTGTAGAAAAAAACAGCAAAAACCTGGACAAGAATTTATGAAACATGTAAGATGGAGCTCAAAAAACAGACTCAGAAATTAAGTTACATGAACAGCCACAAAACCATTGACAGCCTGGGCTGATTTTTAGGCTCCAGATTTAGTGCTCTGCAAATGCTACAGCTGTTTCAAATTTTTGAGAACTCTTTTCAAATGATTTTAACCATTTATTGAACCTGAGACTAGTGATTTAACTATAGTCCCTGGAAGCACCCCACCAAAAAGGTAACTCAAAGCAACTTCCTCATGTGTTTCTACAGTGATATAAACTTGAACTCTAATTTCAAAATTTCCCAGGTATGCTTGAGGATAGGGACTCTAGTATTTGACTGTAACAAGCTTATGCTAAAAATTAGTGTTCATTAAGATGATTGCAATGAGTATCAGTTTTTAGAGATTTTGAAATATTTTTTACGTGTGTATAGTTAACTCTCAATGTACAAAGGAGGGGAAGAAGTTGTTATAGGAATTACTACATTTGGAATAATAATATGTGCAGAAGTATTTTAGTTGTTAACTTCTTAATGCCATTTTTGTATTTTCATGTTCTATTTTGTATGGCCCTGTGGAGCAAACCCGTTACATTTGTTTTTCATTAAAACATTATTTGAAAGTGAAACATTTGGCTGCTAATGTGTATATACATAGGTATAAGCAATTCAGATTATGTTGTTACTCACATGTTATTTGACTGGGATTCTGACAAGCGTAATATGACCATATTGTGACAAAATGTAATGATAGGATGGTATATCAGGATGATGAAACTATACTGTGACATTATATTGTTGCCTAAATAAATTCAGTAATTACTGGGTAACAAGTAAATACCATATTGTTATTGCCATACAATACAGCGATATTTTACTGTTGCCACTGTGACATCATTGTAATTTTAAGCAGAGATGCAAAATATACTTAAAAGTCATCATACAAGCTAATTAAATAATATTCTCAAATTTCTATTCTTACTACTCCAAGAGCAAAGTGTTTCATAAATTTGAGAATTTCCTATATATGGATCTTCTAAACATGATCTAATCATATTAAATATTTTTGTTCTGTCAACTGAATTTTATTGTTAGATACTGATAGACATTTCCCAAGTGGGCTACATTTAAATTTTTCAGGTTCTGAGATTTCCTAATCCAGGTTCTCAACCCTGCCCTTTCAGGAAATTTATGTTGTTATTTGATGATACTACATGTAAATATTCCATTTTTCTTTTCCAGAACTTCCAAAGAGAGGTTATAGTGGGTAAAAGATTCTGGCAGAATTTCTTTTATCTTGCATATAAGGTGTAGTCCATTTTAGGGCCGTATCATTGAGTCTGTAGGAATTATTCCCCAGCCTCATCCTTCAAAAAGATACTTAAAGAAAAGGTGACTTCAGGCTTGACTGGGTTAACTTCTTTGCTGTTTAGGACTTACTGAATTTTTATTGTCGGGTGAATGGCAGATAAGAATTTGGGGTAAATAATAATCCAGGAAGAGTATTCCAAAGAAGTTCGATATAGCTGCCATTTTCAACACTGATGTCAAAAAATAAATACTAGTGGGCTTATTTCCTTTGCTTCACTATATCAGTCTAGAGACTGTAGGAGATGTTCATTGAGTTTGGACTCAATAAAATAATCCTGGTTATGATATTTTAGAACTAAAAGCTGTAGCCTGTTCCTTTTTTTATGTAAAATTGTTTCATGTGATTTAATCTATATAACCATTGTCACTTCATAGCTTTTTGTATTTGATTCCTATATTTGCCCAGTCAATAATTATTATAATTAAGAGTTGTCAGGATGTCTTATACTCCTAGAGAGAGAAGAAAAGGTAGATTTATTAATGAAATAACTACAGTTTAATTTGAGGTATGACATTAAATATTTAAGGATATTGCTATGAACTAAGGAAAGGATATGTACTTGTTTTTAACATTACGTTTTCTCTAAAATGTCTTTCTATTCTTTTAAGCAAAACTATTCTTTTATAGAGAACACTTAAAAGGACTTGTTTAGTTCACTGTTACTTTTTCTAAGTGTTTTTCCTTTCCCTTTTATTTTCTCTTAACTTTGAAAAGGGAGATACCCTTGTTGTAAAATAAGGAATCATTGCTGGGCCTTCATATTCTAATATATTACTTTGACGTTATTTACCCACAATTTATAGCTTAATTAAAGATTTGTTTTGGGAAGTGTGGGGATTGAATATTCTTTCTTTAAAATAATATCGATATAATTTTCTAACTTCATACAAATTTTAAAAAATCCTTTACCTCATATTTAAAAAATCATAAGATAGGAAAATATTGGCACTTAATCACAAGATCTTAAATTTTCTTTAATGTTTTCTAAAGCATTAGATTTTTTTCTAGTTTTAAGACAAAATGCTGTGTCATTTTTAAATATAAAATCTTGATGAAATTAATACATTACAATATGCTTGTAAACTCATGTAATCTTAAATGTGGGTATGATTTTTACTGCCTGTGTTTTTAGTAAGCTGGAGATAAATATATTTCTTAAGAAGGTCTAGAAGTAAAACCAAGTGTTATTTGCCTACAGACTTAGAAAGTGTCTCCATATTTCTATAAGATACAATTAAAGAAGACCATTTTACTTCATTGTATGTTTAATAAAGATATTATAATTGCTTACTTACCTGTCAAACGTTTTAGGGATTACTGATTTTAAAGATATATTAAAAGCTAGCTTTGGTTGAATATATTGTCAAAATATACTCTTGTGGTTGGTTGTTAGGCTTTCAAATTTTTGCAGGTGACATAACTACAAACTTATTCGAACTTACTCTAGTTTTGGCTGGCTGCGGTGGCTCAGTGGTTGAGCATTGACCTATGAACCAGGAGTTCTCAGTTCGATTCCCGGTCAGGGTGGGCTTGATCCCCAGGGAGGGGTATGCAGGAGGCAGCCAATCAATGATTCTCTCTCATCATTGATGTTTCTATCTTTCCTTCTCCCTTCTTTGGAACCAATAAAAATATTTTTAAAAACTCTAGTTTAAAATACAGCTAGAACTTCAGCATATCAAGTGAGGTATATCAAAATACCTTATACATAGATATTTGGGGAAAATTTGAGGTCTGTCACACTAAAATTTGGAAGACTAGAGGAACTGCTATGTGTGTGTGTGTATATATGTGTGTATAAGTACATCATATGCATAGAATAAAAGATTGACTTAAAAGTAGTTAATAAGATGAATCTATCAAAATGACCAACCATTATTAGAGCCAATACTAATTTGAGTAGTTAATTTACATAATAGAGATTTGAGTAGTTAATTTACATAATAGAGAAAATAGCAAAATTTTGTAAGAGAAATCTTGGTGGGATATTTGGTTGATAAAAGTCATTGAAATGTCCCCATTTTATAGTGTTTTACGTAATGTTGAACTTTCCAAAGATTAGAATTTTAATGTACATGAGATTTTTAAATGAGTGGTGTTTTCTGAATTATCAGGAACAGTAGCTTGTATCATTCTTACAGAAAATTACCTCTGTAGTATAGTCATTCACTGTTATGGTGATCATCTTTTATAAAGCAAGAACATTTTCAGTGGTTTGTTCTAATCAGAAAATAATAGCCAGAATGGCAAGGGTAGCTCTTACGAGTACCTCTCTGGGCCAGACACCTGAGCTACGTATCACTTCATTTAATTGGGAAACTATTCCTTGATCTGTTCTTATCATCCCACTGTGAATAGCATTCACAAAGTATCTTTATTTCTCTAAGTATTCCTTTACATGAAGCCTGGAAGCTTTATATAAATTCCTAACTTGAGAAGACATGAATGTAGACCCAGGAAAGTTGAGATAAATTTAAATCCTTCCTGTAAGATTTCGGTTAAGGAAAGAAAGGCAACTACCTTTTTATAGTACCCACTTAAGACTAGCCCACTGCAGAGTTTTATGTGCTTATATTTCATCTTGCCAGGCATGTAGCATGATAAGCCCATTTTGCAGATAAATTGGTGATTAGGAAATTAAATGTTTATTTTTGCATGCAAGGGAAAGTAGGGAAATAAGGAGTTGGAAAGTGTAATTTAAATGTTCAAAATGGATTTAAAAATGGTCTATATGGTTTATATGTGGCACAAACTGTACATAAAACATTTATCCTAATCTTGCCCAAAGAAAACCTTTTTTGCTCTAATCTTTTATGGCTCCTATCTTCACATAATTTTCAGTTTGTGTTTTAAGCTTTTGGTTTGAAGAACATTTGAAGTTGTCCTATGTACAGCTTTAAATGCTATAATGAAGGAACTTATCTAAATGTGAAATTAAAATATTTAGTTCTATAACAAATCCACTTAACAACAATATATAAGTTTTTTCTTGTTTTTTATTTTTTATTGTTTTCTCTATCAATTTTGAATGTTCTGCTTATAATCATAAAATCGCCAAATGTTGTATGTTACCAAATTTTAATTCTTTGAAAACAACATTTATGCTACTCACGAAGCAAAAAATAAACTCTAGCAAAGGAACTTTTCATACTAAGTTTTTCTATAAAACATTTGCCACTACAAGACTTTTGGGGGAAGTTCTTAATTAGTGTTCTATTGTTTAACCCTAAAGCATTCTAATTACATTGTGTTCAATTGTCCAACAACGTTGAGTATTTTTTTTTTTAGAGTTTGTATTCCATTTATTACAACAGCATCTGTATACATTTGAAGACTGTTCAGACATGTTTGCCTGCTAGGTGCCCTGGTGGGCTCTCTGGCAGGCCCCATAGCTGGGTGCCTCAGATCTGGGGACCAGTGTGGTCTCCAACAATTGAAGTTTTAATATTATCCTGGCTCTCCTCAGCCATGAGCTTCCTTAACACTCCTTGCCAGGCATGTAGTATGATAAGCCCATTTTGCATACTACAAAGTATGCAAATTATTGATGTATAATTTACATTTATAAGCCCATTTTGCAGATCAGAACACAGAGGCATCAATAGCTGCATTATCTGTCCAAGACAGGAAGCAAGGGATTAGTAGAAAATGAGTTAGGTTTGGGTGACCCCAAAACACATTTTTTTGTTTCCTTGCTTTTTACTTTTTTATCAAATTTATTGGGGTGGCATTGGTTTAAAAAATGATATAGGCTTTAGGTGTACGTCATCTATATATTCTATCGTGTGTTCCCCACCCCAAGTCAAGTCTCCTTCCGTCACAATTTATCCTCCCTACTAGAGGCTGGTGCATGACATTTGTTCCACCATTTGGTCGATTTGCGTATTAGCCTTTTATTATAGAGGATACCCTATTCTACCTCCCCCAACCCCTGAGTAGTTTCTTTTTAAATTATACTTTAAGTACATGCCATATTTTTATTTTTAAGTAACCTTGTGTTTGTAACATTAATTACAAGTAATACTTTACAAATGTTTTGATAATAAAATAGCAGTTGAATGTTGTATCTTTTTAGTGTAGTTCTAGTTTCCTAAAACTTGATTTTAAATTGATTTTTTATGAATCTTATTTGAGTTATATGTTCATCATCATATTATCCCAATTCAGATACTTAAAAGAACATTTTCTAGTTATAATGAAATTTTATTTTGTGATTGTGACATTTTTGTTTGAAATGACAAATATGTTTATTTTAAATTCTAAATATATTTAGAGCATGTTCAGACTTTGTGTATGTTATTCATAATGAAAAAAGAATCCGTTTTAATTATCAGGATTTTTTCTACAAGGCCCATTAAATATGAAGATAAAGATTTAGGTGGAATTTCTTTTCTTCAGTAGTTAAGTGTGCACATTTAGGTCTTGGCTATTGAGTTAATTTATTAACAAGTGCTAAATATAACATTATTGAAATGCTTAACCACTGTTATGTTGAATGCTGCATGGCCCTGTCAGGAGAATGGAGGATAGTACAGTATACTGCGAAAGTAATTGTAATGTGTAGTGTGTAATTACACATAATATGTAATTATTTCATAATAGCACCTTAAGCAAAGTATTGCAAAAGTGATTAAAATGTTGTTTTCAACAGCAATTTTAAAGTTATTGGAAATCTGTCCTTGGTAAAGCCTAACTTTTATGCTAAAAGTAATGTGAAGACATAGATTAATTTTTTTCATTTTGTTTTATTTCCAGGTGGAGGTTTGGCTGTTGGAACAGTTCTTCTTATTGGTTAGTATAGCATACATATTTCTGCTTTCTGATCAGTTTTCTGTTGTGCGTAATGATTTTACAGGTTTTCCTATTCTGAAATTACTAGTAAGTATTTAACTTTCTGCAGGAGTTAAGGAATATTAAAGAGAAATTGTCTTAAGTTCTAATTTAAACTTTGATCTGAACTTGAAATAAATTAGGCAAGTATATCTGATAATGTAGCTCTTAGAAATGTTCACAGGGCACTATCCTTCATTTTTTAAAAAAAGACTAGAATTAATGCCAATTGATTTTTCTGGAGAATCTCATAGTTAGAGTGAGTTTATCAGAGTGATTAAGAAGTTGATGTGCTAACAAGTTCATTGTATATGTCTCAGATTTTTATCATTATTGTCTTCTTATTGAAAGAAAAGTAACAAACTGATAAATCATATTTTTGTTTATCTTTAAAAGTACAATGGTTCTTATTTAAATATACATTCATAATACCATTTCCCTTACTTTTTTTAGTTTAGATTGGAGAATTGTGGAAATGAAATAAACCTTGGCAGTTACATCAAAGCTCCCATCTAGCCACCAATCACTTTTCCATAATCCTTGACAGATATCAAACACAATTTGAGTACCAATTATCTAGTTAAAATAATTCACTACTTCACAAAGCAGTGTTTGTTGTTGAAAATACTAAGATTTATTAGAAAGTTCCTTTTCTTAATGTTTACTCCATCTACTTATAACTGATTTTCGTTCCTAGTTTTGCCCTCTGTACTAATAATACAGAATTTATCTAGTCTTTCACATGACACTCTTAAAATATTTGAAAATAACTGTTTTAACATCTAAAATCTTATCCAAACTAAATAGACATAGTTTGTTAAATTAGTTTTTATGTATCTTGGTTTTCATCCTGGTTTTTTTCTTGTCACATCTAGTCTAGCATTGTCTCTTCAGCTGAATCCAGAACGGAATACAATATTCCACATTTAGAATGACCTATACTAGAATTCTAGAAATGATGATATCTGTCCCATATTTTAAAATTTATCTTTATTATACATAAAAAATACTTGAAGGACTTTATGGAAAAAATAACTTACAGTTTTTATATAAATAAATAAATACATAACATACAAAAGGATATATAGAAAAAAATAAGTTGTTCTTGCAGTTCCTCATTACCCATACCCAGAGACAATACTGCCCTGGTAGCCCATTTAAATATTTCTACGTAAGAAATATACTTGGGAGCATTTAGCACCTTTGCCTTTTCCATTTAATACATCTTAGAGAAGAGTCCTTGTGCATTCATATAGATATACTTTATTCTTAACAGTATTGGATTTCATTGTATGGATATGCTATAATTTATTTAAATCATTTAGGTTAATTCCTTTTTTTCTATTACTAACAATGCTATTGTGCAGATCTTGTATGTAAGCTTTGCATACATATGTAAACATCGCTTAGCTGCCTCCTCCAGGCTCCCTACCAGGGATTTAACCTGAAACCCAGGCATGTGCCCTGACCAGGAATTGAACAGGCAACCTTTCAGTGCACAGATGATGCCCAACCAACTGAGCCACACCAACCAGGGCAACTGTTCCAAGTTTTAATAACTGAAATTGGCGGTGAGAAAATCAAGGAATCAGCTCTAGGTATCATTAAGAGATGAGAAAAGATTTTCATAGCATAGTGGAAAGTAGTGACTGGAAAGAATAAATAAAAACACTTCATATTTATATACTAAAGAATTGAGAGCTCTATATAAACTGTATATATATAGAATGGCTAAAGAAATAGTGAAACTGAGAGCAAGAAGTGTCTTAACTGGGGAAAATTGTCCATAGCAATACCTGCAATAAACAAATGGAATAAGATAAAGATTTAAAAGTGTCAGGAAAATAGATAATTAGAAAGTCATTGTTGACTTTCATAGTCCCAGTGAAATGATAGGAGCAGCTCATTTAGACTTCGATATAAGGAAAAATTGATACTCCTTCTTCCCATCCTCTGGCTTCAGTCTACCCTTGGGGGCCTAATGAACAAGTGTAATTCCATTTCCATATGACAGCCTGTCAAATATTTAAGGCAGCTCCCTTGCATCCCTTAGGTCTCTTTTTCTTCAAGCTAAATATCTCATTTCTCATGCTTTCAGGTCCCTTGACCATCCTGCTCACACCATTCTGAAGATACTTTAGTTTATGTAAATACCCAAGTGAAATATATTATTGTCAGTCTGGTTGACTACTAGAATAGATGAGGACAATCAGCTCTCTCAACCTAGGAATTAGACTATTTATTCTGGCCAGAACCACATTTGCTTTTTGGCAGTTCTGTCACATCATTATCATTTTTGCTTGCCCAGTGTTAAGGGGATTCACTAAATAGATTAATTAAATGCTTATTATACAACTTCAAAATTTGTTTCACAAAATTGGTAATTTTCAGCTTGAAGAGCATAGTTTTTTTGCTAATCCCTAAATAGGTGATGTTCCTCCTGTTAGTTTTTTGTGCCTCAAAGGAGTATGAAAAAATATAGTTGATAACTATTAGAGAGAGAGAGGGAGATCGAGTGAGTGTGTGTGTGTGTGTGTGTGTGTGTGTGTGTGTGTGTGTGTTATGATAGGGTGTGTTTTCAGCAAACTACAGTAGATCTGGCTGATTTATAAGACAAAGATAGATTTTTGTTTGTTGTTTGTTTCCCTTAATTAATTCTACAAATATTTACTAGATATACACTATGTGTCCAATACTAGGGATATACCCAATACTAGGGAAGTGTTCTCTGCCATGAAGATCTTGTAGCTTGGTGGGGAAATTTCAATGATGTGTATTAAAGGCTATAATAGGAGTTAAGAAGATGCTGTCTGAAGCATGTGATCATCTCATCCAGCCTTGAGAAAGGCTTTTCCAAAAATGCGGTTATCTAATCTGGGTCTGGGAGGGTTTAAGGGAATTAGCTAGCTGCTCCTCAGAACTTTTTGTATATTGTATTCTGGAACTGTATGATGCAATCAGATTAAGGTGGTTGATGAGGTTGTTCAGATTTTCTATTTTTTTAACGTTTTTTTCCTTCAGTTCTGTCAATTACTAAGATGTGTATAATAAAATCGCCAAATATAATTTACATTTTCTGAGTTCCGTCAATTTTCCTTTAAACAGTTGTATTTTTTATGAAATTCAAAGTAAAAATAATTTATCCACATACAGACAGTCCTCGGGTTATGTCGGACCCGACGTATGTCATTTTGTGGTTACCTCGCCATCTTCCATTTACAGTATTTATAAAAAAAAAAAAAAATTTCCATCATTTCGACGTCTGTACATATGTGCTTTGTGTTTTTTATTATTTATTTACCACAAGTAAAGGTCAGGAATTGTTATCTTTCTTTTAAATTTTTTTTACTGTTTCACTTCATTATTGCTGTGTATGTGCTCCATGTGAGTGACGTAGGTGCTTATGTAGGTGGGTTCCGACTTAGGGCAAAAATCTTGTTACATCTCGCCATAGGAAGGGATCTCCCACGTAACCCGAGGACGTACTGTACATACATATCTGTATATAAATACATAATACACAATCGCAGTGTTTTATAATTTCCCATCAATTTGTATTCTTTTTTCCTTCCTATAAATATAAGTTACCATGTTGTGTCATTTTCCTTTACCTTTTAATGATCTATAGTACAAGTCAGCTGTCGATGAATTGCCTCAGTTTTCACCTCAATTTTTTGTTAATTCTCACCTGAGAATATGTTTAGAGAGAGGAAGGGAGAAAGAGAGAGAGAAAGAAACATCAATGTGAGAGAAACATGGCTGGGCTGCCTCCCATTTGCGCTCTGACTGGAAATCATACCCGCAGCCTAGGTATGTTCCCTGACTGGGAATCAAACCCACAGTCTTTTGGTGTATGGGATGATGCTCAACCCAAGCCAGCTGGCCAGGGCTGACCTCAATTTTTTAATGTATTTTGTGAATTTACAACTTTTGGTTAAGTTGGATTTGTTTTTCAACTCTTTGAATATATAATTATCATTTCTTCTGGCCTTCATTGTTTCTGATGACAAATCATTTGTTAATTGTATTGTTGTACCCCTGTATATCATACCATTTTCCCCTTCTGCTTCAAAAATTATGATGTTTTTAGATTTGGTTTCTTTGCATTTATCCTAGTAAAGGTTTCCTGTGCTTCTTGGATCTGTAACTGAATATTTTCGTCAAACTTGGGGAAGTTTTGGCCATCACTTCTTTAAATATTGTTTCTGCTTCTTTCTGTCTCAGTGTCTAGGACTCCAATTAAACACATGCTCCACATGTCTCGAGTTCTGTTCAATTTTCTGTGTTCTTCAGATTGCATAATTTCTGCTGATCTGCCTTCATGTGTTGTTTTTTCTTCTATCTTTAATCTACTCATGAGATCACCAAGTAAATTTTTTATTTAAAGAACCATAATTTTAAGGTATAAATTTTCTGTCTACTTCATTTTTATAGTTTTCATTTCTCTGTTGATTTTTTCTGTTTACTTATTGATACCATATGTTTGTTTGTTTTTTATTTGTTTTTAAGGTTTAGAATTTTTATTTATTTATTTATTTTTAAATCTTTAATTTCTTTATTGGTTAAGGTATTACAAGTGTGTCCTCAACCTCCCCCCCCCCATTAACCCCCAACCTCCCCCCGCTCTCACTCATGCTTTCATCCCCCTGTTGTCCATGTCCATTGGTTTGGCTTATATGCACGCATACAAGTCCTTTGGTTGATCTCTTCCCCTTACCCCCACCCTCCCCTACTTTCCCTCTGGGGATTGGTAGTCTGATTGCTGTTTCATACCATATGTTTTTAATACTTTGTATTCATTTTTCTTTAATTCTGTGAACATATTTATAATAGCTGTTTTGAAGTATTTTTTTGTTGTTGTTAATCCTCACTGTAGGGTATTTTTTCCATTGCTTTTTATAGAGTGGGAGGGGGGGAAGTGAAAAAGAAAGAGAGTGAGAGAAACGTCAGTGTGAGAAAGACACATCATTTGGTTGCCTCCTGCATGTGCCCTGACTGAGGCCAGGTACATGCCCTTGACTAGAATCAAACCTGCGAACCTTTCGGTGTGCGGGCTGATGCTCTAACCACCAAGAACACCAGCCAGGGCTGAAGTCTTTTTCTTTTAAATCCCACTTTTGAGCCCATTTGGAATCAGTTTCTTTGGAGTGTGTTTTCCTTAGTCTGGATCATATTCAGTAATTTTTGGTTGAAATCTGTATATTGTAAATAATAACATTGTAATGATTTTGAATTTTATTATGTTCTTCTGAAGATTACTAGTTTTTTGCTTTAATAGGTAGTTAGCTTGCCTGGGCTTAAATTATTAATTCATTTTAGTATACTATGCAGCAGTTAATATCTCTGTTCAGTTTTTGTACCCTTCAATGTTGCTTTTTCAGCCTGGTCACACAAGATTGGTCATTGGGATCACAAAGTTTACTCAATGGCCAAATATTTGTACAAAATACATACTCGTATTTTGGGCTTACACTTTCTGTAATCCTCAGCCTTAGTTCTGTTCTCTGACACCTCAAGTCAATAGACGTTAGCTTTTTATAGTACAAAATTCTGCTCTCAGATTGGGAAAAGCATACCTTCAAAAGGAGCAGCAAATTTGCAAATCTCACATGCATAACCCTCTAAATTTTGTGGCTAGCGGAGGTGGTGTAGTAGATGGAGAATGATTTTTATAAAAGTCAGGAAGACTCTATTAAGAGTATCTACTTCAAAATAAGAGTATCTCTCAGTGGTTCTCAACCTTCTGGCCCTTTAAATACAGTGTCTCATGTTGTGACCCAACCATAAAATTATTTTCGTTGCTACTTCATAACTGTAATGTTGCTACTGTTATGAATTGTTATGTAAATATCTGATATGCAGGATGGTCTTAGGCGAACCCTGTGAAAGGGTCGTTCCACCGCCAAAGGGGTCGTGACCCACAGGTTGAGAACTGCTGTTTAGCCTATCTAACTGTACCTTAGGAAAACATAATTATCGCCCCACCTCCTATAATTGTTTTAAAGAGAAAAATTATAAAAACATCTGCTTGTTCGTGGTATTCGGTAGGATTCTGATTATATTATTTTTTTCTTTTTTACAGAAGAGGATAAATATAATACTTATTCTCCTTTGCTCTTCAAGTATTTCCTGGCAGAAGGAATCGTCGCTGGGCATACTTCGTTGGTCGCATCTGCAAAAGAAGACCCTGCTGACATATTACAGGTATAGATTAGATTGTATTCTATATATTCAGTATTACATCTTGAATATTTTATGGAAACATTATTTATATATATAAAAAAGATAATATGTTTGTACATATACAAACTATGTTTATATGCACTAATGCAGCGGTTCTCAACCTGTGGGTCGCGACCCCTTTGGCGGTCAAACGACCCTTTCACAGGGTTCGCCTAAGACCATCCTGCATATCAGATATTTACATTACGATTCATAACAGTAGCAACATTACAGTTATGAAGTAGCAACGAAAATAATTTTATGGTTGGGTCACAACATGAGACACTGTATTTAAAGGGCCAGAAGGTTGAGAACCACTGCACTAATGGATTCCTACATGCATTTTTTTTCTCTTAAAAGTATCAAATTTATTTAAGCAGATAGTTTCCTTTTTTTGGAAGAATAGTTTCTTGAGTTTGAGAGAGAAAAACATTGATGTGAGAGCAGAACATCGCTTGGCTGCCTCCTACATGCCCTCTACCGGGGATCAAGCCCGCCATCCATAAGTCATGGAATAAGTAACAATTCATTTACAATGAACCATATCATATTTGATGAATTAGTGTAACAAGATATTTAGGAATGAAATATGAAAATTAATACTATCATCTTCAGAATTATTTTATGGACTTCAAATCCATAAGTAAAAATTAAAATTCTATTTTAATAATTTGAAAGCATTCTTTTATTTCCCAAAATATCAACCTTTTACTCAAATACTGAACTCATTTGTTAAGGTCTTATTCATTGTACCACATATCTTTTGCTTTATTGGATTCTTTGATTATAAATGAGATCAGAGATACCAGTTGATTTAGAATTAGTTGTAGCAGTATTATTTGATAAACAATGTAAAGTTTTAATTTCTATTAAAAAGGTTTCTTTTCCTTCTATTAATTTGGTGTCAAGATTAAGTCTGTGTTTGCTCTTCATCTTCAAATTACTGATCATGGAGCAAAAATTAGAATTCTGAATCCAGGGAGTGATCATTTGTTTGCTCTTCGTCATTAAAGTACAGTCTGGTCTTTCTGAGTAAATAGAATACGAAAGTATCTCAGATCTATCTTGTTTTTTGTGTTCTGCCAAAAATTGAAATAGCTGTAAGAATGAAGTTAAAGAAACACTCCTTGGTTGGCCAGATATATTCTTTAATGTTTTTTGTTGTTTTTGTTATACTTACTTCCAAAGTTGTAGTTTTAATACATCATGTTAAAATAATAAAAAATAATTCTGGCCCTTCTGTCATTCTACTTTGCAAGCTTTGTTGCATGCTCAATAACATAACACATTTTCCATGCATTTTTAATTTTTTAGCCTGTATAATATTTATTGTATTTCCTATCAAAACTATTTTGTCACTGTATACGTTTTGTCCACAGTATAAGGACAAATGTTAGACAAGCCCTTTGAAGGCAGAGTTGTAATCAGTGTATGTTCCCTTCATTTGTTTGTCAACAATTTATTTTTTCAGAAAATTATCAGAACATACACTTTTCAATGCATATAATTCTGAAGTGCTAGCTGAGTCAAATATTTGCTGTTTGACCCCAGGGTTTCCCTTTCCCACTCCCCAACCTGCCCCCCCACCCCTTGCTACTCCTGAGAGCTTATTTAAAATTTGAAATTCTTCTCTGGCAGCTATAATTAGAGCTTCTTTGGCAATCTAAAAAGACTAAGAAGAAACATGCAAAGGCTCAATACTACTTCCAGCTACCTACATTTGTAGCCAGCTTTTAAAAGAGGGCATGTGCCTTATTTTCCAACAGGAATGAAAGTTAAAAGTATAAAGGAAAATAAACCCAATTCTCTGTCACTAGCTTGTGAAAACCATCTCTGATATAACATTAAAATAAACACACATTTGTATTTGATGTTTGTGCATCGGCCAACAAAAAAAGGGCTTTTGCATGCAGAAAGGTAACAAGTTATGTAGTAAAAATTCCATATTCTGTAATATTTATCCTCAAGAAGGTGAAATATATATGGGATCTGGGCTTAGATTTTAATTTCTGTGTTGCTACTTAACTAGTGGCAGGATCTTGTACAAGTCACTTAACCTTTCATATTAAGATAGGGATAATACCTAGCTACCTCATTCCAGAGTTCCAAATTTAAAATATCTGGAAGGTTTGCTTTCTAAATCACACACATCACTTTCAAAAATTTTATTTCAAGCTCATCAAAAAATGAATTGTTGTACTTGATGGTTATTGTTATGCTCAAAAGAAATGTTAAAATCTTAGCACTATTATATAGCACTTTATCATTCTTTGAAAATAAGCCATAAAGGCCAGAATTGAGAATATTAGAAGTAGAGTTCATTTTTCTTCTAAATACTTTTACCAAAAAAAAAAGTAGTTAGAAGAAAATATTCAATCCTTTTGAATTACATGACTTGAAATTCCGAAAACCAGAATCATTAAAAGTAAAAAGAAATACTTTTTCATCAGCACCCAAATTAACATATTATCCCTGTAAATGAAATATTAAAGGATACCATGAAAAGAAGGCAGCACCCTACCAAGGGTCATAGATTAAGCAGACAGTACAGAAGGATAACTTTGCAGTGTGACAAACTCAAAGAAGGCAGGGCTACTTCTCCAACTAGTGTTGGGATGATTCTTCAGTGGCCAGTCTTTCTTTCCTGAAACGTTAACTTTTGTTTAACAAAAAATGATAAGCAGTTGCAGAAAGTGGCCTTAGCTCACCATATCCATCTTTTAATATTCTGGAATAGTAATGAACTCAGAAGCATTTGAAATGTGCTACATTTTTATAAAATATTCTTACTTCAGTTGTGTTATTTATGTGCGTGTGTAGCTAAAAGACAGTGCTAGATTTCAGAAACAAGGTAGAGAGTATTAAACTGAAGATGAATTGGAAGTAGAAAGTAGAGCTGAGACTATGAAGTGAAACTTCTTACCTTTATATTCTTAAAGCAGATTACAATATACAGAGTGCTATAGAATTAAAGAAAATCAATTTTATGTCTTTATTCAGGACTCAATGAGCAGAAAGAATCAGTTTTGTTCTATTGACACCTAATGTACTACAGGCTGTCATTTTGAAATTTAATAAAAATAAAGGGATATCCAATTTCATTTAGTACCCCACAATACCCTAAGGATTTTTGTTTGTGACATTTTCCATAAGCTGGATTTATTCTGGAAAAATAAAAGAATATGACATCAGACAAAACCAGTCGCTTGTGTGTTCCTGAGCCAGGGTTTAACTGATCAGGATCTCTTAAATGAAGATAAATGCCGAATTTGATTCCTAATTGAGATTTCTTTGACAGTAGATATTCCTGAAACTTTAGAATATATCTTTTCCAACAATGTAAAAATTTTATTACCTGAATTTAATAAATAATTATAAGATTATTGTCACTATCCTAATATAATTATATTTAGAAATGTTTTAGTTATATCAGGCTTTTATAAATTAGTTTATAGTCAATAAGGTCAATTAGTACTTAAAGGAATTTTGTAAGAATCCTATGCCAAGATAAGAATCCGTCTATAACTCAAATTATTGCATAACCTGTTTATTTAATATAGATTTTCATATATCATATTTTGTTAAAAACCGGTTACTCTACACCCTTATACAGTAAACATTTACTAAAGAAGATCATTGCACATGATCTCACCAACTAAACCTGCTAATACCAGTGAATTTGTGGATAATTTAGTCTACTCAAAATGTATGACTTTAAAAAATGTCTTTATGGCCATTGGTTTGGCTCAGTGGCTAGAGCGTCGGCCTGCGGACTGAAGGGTCCCAGGTTCGATTCCGATCATGGGCATGTACCTTGGTTGTGGGCACATACCCAGTAGGGAGTGTGCAGGAGGCAGCTGATCAATGTTTCTCTCTCATCGATGTTTCTAACTCTCTATCCCTCTCCATTCCTCTCTGTAAAAAATCAATAAAAATATATATATTTTAAAAAAATGTCTTTATGTAGTATGACCTATACTCTGGATTTCCATGTCATCTACATTTCCCAATGTTTTAACAATTGAAGTCGCCTTTCTCCCATATACTTTTTTTAAAATTAAATATATCTTTTTTTATTGAAAGTATTACAAATGTCCCCTTTTTTCTCCCCATTGACTCCCTTCCCCCCACTCCTGTCTCCTCCCCAGGCCTTTCTGTGTCAATGGGTTACACATGTATACATGTAAGTTTTTTGGTTGATCTCTGTCCTCCCCCCACTCCCCTTCCCTTGAGGATCCTCAGTCTGTTGCATGCTTCCTTGTCTCTGGATCTATTTTGTTTGTCAGTTTGTTTTATGCATTAGATTCCACATATAAGTGAGATCATATATTTTTAAATATTTAACTAGAGATAATGTGAAGGGCAGACATACTTTTAATATATGGATACTCAGGTTGGATATTTGGTGTACTTTGTATTCACATTTTGATAATAATATCTTTGGATTTGTTTATCTTTCAGAAAATAAATATCTCCCCTCCCCCAAAAACAAACAAACAAAAAAAACCCACTCAAAATCAACAAGGTAATATACTTACACAATATAATACACTTGTTGATTCATGGATAATGCTTAAGTAGTATTAATTATACAGTTACCAAAACCTGCAAGGATCAAAAGATTTTAAGAAGGATTTCTCATGCTGCATGGATTATGTTGCTACATAATAGCTCAGTAGTACTTCTGCTGAATTGTAAAATAGCTTAGAGAGGAGTATGATGCCTATAGTTGGTGTAATGCATTGGTAATTAAGAGGTGGGAGGTTAGGCTTCATTAACTGCTGAGGGATTGTATCTTGGGTTTTATTATGCCCTAGAGAACATAAAAAGTGAGAAGGGTCAAACTGTTGGAATCAGATTTTGCTTGTGCATCTGCCAAAACAAAGATCACAAACTAATATAGCAGTAGGCAAAGAATGGCTTGAATTGAAAGGGAACAAATATATTTGCAGCATCTAATGGATAAGGATAAATGTTTCTGA